CTCACCACCCTGAGATCATGACCTGAGCTGAAACCTAGAGCCTGGTGCTTAACCGACTGGCCACCCAGGCACCCCAAGAATATCCTTCCTAATCGGCAGCCAACACAGTTAATGGTAAAACACTAGATGTGTTCTCAGTCAATTCATCAATGCAGATCAAGTTACCTGTTCTTACCACAACTGTCAAACATAGTTTAAGAAATTCCACCCAAAGTTATAATAAGAAGTAGAACACAAGTAAGAGACGTAAATAGGAAAATGAAAGACTGTATTAGCATTATTTGCAGGGATAACTGATAACGCTAAGAAAATCAAGTGAAATGCTGTTAGGTTCTTTAAAGATGTTTTTTAAGTGGATGGGTATAAAAAAAAATACACAAAAAAGTCAGTAAATATTCTCCATACCATCAGTGAAGTCTTAAAAACAAGTGTATCAGAAGAAGTCTTATTCATAACAACAACAAAAAGTAAGATAAGCCATAATAACCTTAGTAAGAATGTTTTTGGTACCCAGATGAAAGAAACTATTAGTCCTGTCCTTTGTCTCAGTAATTCATCATCTAGGAATCTACCCAAGGAAAAGGTCAGAACTTCAAAGATTTATTATCAGATTTTAAAATACTTTAATATTGGGAAAATTCAAATACTCAATAGTAGTAGTTATGACCTGATTAATTCAACATTAACCAGGTCATAACACATCCTTGTGATGAAATCTTTAAGACCATTCTAAGGACTATTTAGTGACTTGGGGAAATGCTAAAAATGCTCTCTCATGAAAAAAGGGAGGATATAGAATTTTTTCTAGCATCTGATGCTAATTTTGCTTAATATTGGGGTTCTTCTCTGAGCAGGGAATTCTTATTTGCTTCACAATTTCCTGAACCATCCCCATGCCTACTCCTTGGGTTACATGATACCAAATGCGTAATTTTCCTCCTTATTTGTGGTTTTCTCTTCTTGCCTTGACTAATCTCTATACTCTCTTATCGCCCCACCGATCCAAGCGAGGGTGACTGCAGCCACTCCAATGGTTTTAATTCTTCCATATGCTAAGGATGTCTGATCTGTTCTTTCCCATAACCCAATTCTCGTCCTAAACTATGAGAGCTGACCTTTATCCACCTAGCTCTCTATGCCTGCAATTTCCATTATCCCAGATTTCTTCTGTTCTTGAACCATCTTCAATAAGACTCACATCATCCCCTCATCTCCATCTTACCTGCTGGACTCTAAATTGACACCTTTTCCTTTTGCCAGGACTCACGCATGAGACTGATTAGTCTGTGGTCCTAAGCTTTTCAATCCATTCTATCATCAGAGTGATCATTCTTTTTTTTTTTTTTTAAGGTTTTATTTATTTATTTGACAGACAGAGATCACAAGTAGGCAGAGAGGCAGGCAGAGAGAGGAAGGGAAGCAGGCTCCCCACTGAGCAAAGAGCCCGATGCGGGGCTTGATCCCAGGACCCTGAGATCATACCTGAGCCAAAGGCAGCGGCTTTAACCCACTGAACCACCCAGGCGCCCCCAGAGTGATCATTCTAAAACTTCAATTAATTAGTTAATTAATTAGAGAGAGCACAAGTGGGATGGGGTAGAGGGGCAGAGGAAGGGAGAGTGAATCCTAAGCAGGCTCCATGCTCAGTGCGGAGCCCAACTTGGGCTTGATCTCATGACCCTGAGGATCATGACCTGGGCTGAAATCAAGAGTCCCTTGGTGGGGCTCCTGGGAGGCTCAGTTGTTAAGCATCTGCCTTCGGCTCAGGTCATGATCCTAGGGTCCTGGGATCGAGCTCCAGATCAGGTTCCTTGCTCAGCAGGGAGCCTGCTTCTCCCCTGCCTGCCATTCCCCATGCTTGCTCTCTGTCTCTCTCATTCACTCTGTCAAATAAACAAATAAAATCTTAAAAAAAAGGAGTCCCTTGGTCAACCTACTGAGCTACCCAGGCACCCCCAGAGTGATCATTCTAAAGCAAACAACTTAATCATCGGTCTCCACTATTGTTTCTGTTTCTATTGTGATGTCATGAAGGTTCAAATAGTAAGAGATACATGTCTGCCAGGACTAATTTATTTGCCGCTCATCTAAACTCCATCTCCCACCCCCAACCTCTTCCACTGTGGGAGGAAGCAGCTAATTAAAGCAGGTGCTGAAATGAAAAAGGAAACCCAGAGAGAGTGACTCAGCTCATGGACAATGCATGGGGACAATCAAAGCCTAGCAATCCATCAGATTTTTCTCAACAAAGTGGTCTTTTTTTTTTTTTTAAACATTTTTATTTATTTATTTGACAGAGAGAGAGTATAAGCTGGGGGATCAGAAGAGGGAGAAGCAGGCTCCCTGCTGAGCAGGGATTCCCTATGCGGAGCTTGATTCCAGAACCCTAGGATCATGACCTGAGCTGAAGGCAGATGCTTAACTGACTGAGGCACCCAGGTGCCCCTGAATTTTTTTAATTGAAGAGGCAGGTCGATAACAATACATTAACATATATTAATACATGCCAGAAAATAATCAGAGAAAAGGCACGTGGTATGGTACTCGGAATTTTTTCTATTATAAAAAGTTACGAACAAACAAAAAAGTTAAAAGATTAGTATAATCTACTCTTGTGTATCTTTCACCAGGGTTGAAACTGTTAATATTTTACTATTTTGGCTTAATCTATATAGGTATGCATTTTTTTTTTTTCTGAATCATTCTGAAGTATATTGCAGACATTATGGTCAGTTATATTATATTTAGCCTTGGTTTTTAATATCTGCTTTTCAAGTATTTTTTTATTCATGTTTTATAAAATCCTTAAAGATTTAAAAAGAGAATAATTATGTTCATGTTGTTAGAAAGCAAGACTTACAGTGTGAGAGAAAAGAGATTTGATGTAAAAATCAAAGGTATTAAACAAAACCCCTGAAATATTAACTCTACATTGTAAGCATTAGTATTCCTGATTTCTTTTTCCTTAAAAAAATACATATTAACCAGCTCTGTCCACCGTTAACACTGTAGCAGTAAACACTCCTAGTAACTCTGGTTATGGTCTCTAAATACCATACCCTCCCAAGAGAAACCAAAGCTCCTCGGAGGGAGGGCTGATGCCAGGACTGGGGCAGGAATGCATACAAGAAGGTGCTGGGAAATCTCATCGTCCCTGACAGCAAGCAAATCCTACAAAACTAAAGAGACCATGACAAAGGACCCAGGAGCTAACATTAAGAGGCTCAAGAGTCAAAGATGAGACAATTGGAGAAACAAAGAACACAACCAAAACAGAAACCCTGAATACATAAAAACACATAGGTACCCGATGGAATAAAAAAGTGCCCTCCCCATCCAAGCCATAAAACAATGGGTTATCACTGGAGGTACACAGGGCATCGACTCCTTATTCTGAAAATGGCAATTAAAGAATTAAGCATTTAGGGGCGCCAAGGTGGCTCAGTCGGTTAAGCGTCTATCTTTGGCTCAGGTAAGGATCCTGGGACCTGGGATGGAGCCCTCAGTAGGGCTCCCTGCTCAGCAGCAGGGAGTCTGCTTCTCCCTCTGCCACTCTCCCTGCTCCTGCTCCCACTCCCTCTCTCTCTCAAATAAATAAATAAAATTAAAAAGAAAAAGAATTAAGCTTTACCCTGTCTTTTCAGATCAAATTATATACTAGGGTAACTACATAGCCCCAGCTGATAAAGTTTTGCTTTGCTGAAGAATTACAGCTAATACATTTAGAATGCAGGAGACATTCAGACACTCAGCATTTGGCTATTTCTAGTTAACCAATGATTCAGGCAATCATGAAAGCATTACATGAAAGGTGGGTGTGGGTCTTTGAAATGAAAGGAGCAGCCGTTGCCACGTGAATTCACTGATCAGTGGTAGAATCATTATAAGCGAGACGATCGATAGCATGTGGTCTCCTGAAATGATTCAATGTGACGTACACAGTAGTTTATAGCAGTATTCTCGCTCCTGAAAGTTATAGCTAAGTTCTAGTTTGCAAGAAATATGAATGATAGGGGCGCCTGGGTGGCTCAGTGGGTTAAGCCTCTGCCTTCAGCGCGTGTCATGATCTCAGGGTCCTGGGATCGAGCCCCGCATCGGGCTCTCTGCTCAGCAGGGAGCCTGCTTCCTCCTCTCTCTCTGCCTGCTCTCTGCCTACTTGTGATCTCTGTCAAATAAATAAATAAAATCTTTAAAAAAAAAGAAATATGAATGATAGAAGAACAACTTAACACCATGAGAAGACAGGCAGACAAGTCCAGAAGGCATGACATTCTATAGGACAACTAAGCTTTTTTCAACAAAGACAAGGTGGGGGAGGGAGGAAAGGACAATGAATGGCAGAGTATCAACCAACTATATCCTGCGTGGACTCATTTAGGCCCTGACATGAACAAACCCAACTGAAAACACTTTGAGCTACTTGGAGAAATGTCAGTATGGACTGGGTGCTGGGAGGACATCAACATTAATTATTAATTATTAACTTTGTTGGATGTGATGGTAATGGCATTGAAAGAATGTCTATCTTCTTAAAAATGTATATCTCTCTATCTTCTTAAGGGATGTATACTTAACTACGCACGGGTGAAACAACCTGATGGCTAGATTTTCTTTAGAAAGGCTTCGCACACACAACAGATGTGAAATGGGGGTAGACGAAGCAAGTATAGAAAAGGCTTGATAATTACTGGGCTTCAGTAATAGGCATACGGGGGTTCATGACATGGTTCTTTATCCTTCTGTGTATTTTTGAAATTTTTGTAACAATATTTTTTCAAGATTAAAAGAGAAGTAGCTATTTTTAGAGACAGAATCTGAACAGAAGTTGAAAACATTTATTTGCATTACACTGTCATTTAAAAACAAATGTGAAACTATTTTAAGTGGACTTCTCAAATAAGATGTTCTTACCCACCCACATTAGTTTTTTTTATGTCTTTTGAGCATACTGCTGCCTATTTATGGCCAATAAATTTCTACATTTTTGAAGGATAGATTACCTGTTATCAATAATCATTATACTGGAACGTGGAATCCCCAAAACATCACAGCTCTGCAAAAGTTCTTTCTTACGTATCTCCCCTTGATTGTAGTAATTTCCTGAAGATAACAAATATACAGTGGCAGATTTCTTTGATAGTGGAAATCTATCAGTTTATTCATTCTTATCTTGTTCCCTAGGGGACGTAAGCCACCTGAAAAATTTGTGGTTATGATAAAAAGCTGAAGGAAATACTATTCACTCCTGTGAGATGACTGACAGCAGCCCAGTCTTTAGAATCATCACCATTTAATCCTTCCCCATCTCTGGATCTACCTGTCTGTCCCTCTGTCTGTCTGCCTGCATTTTAGCTGCATGCTACGGGCAGTACTGCACACCGCTAAGACCATGGACTTTGGAGTTCAGCAGATTTAAAACTTCCTCTTCCCAAACTGCCCAGAGTAAGTCAGGTACCTGGGCATGCTATTAATTTGGGAATCTTTAAATTGATAGTCCTTAAATATCTGCTGAACATTTATTTAAAGAAGAGGCTCTTACTCCTGAGTATTACAGGAAAATGTGTCCCTGGGGGATCTTGACCACATCAGTGCCCCAAATAGCTTATATATCCTTTCTTTTCCCAACACATATATTCTGTTTCCTACAAATCGTTCTGCTAAGTACGGCTTCTCCGTATCCTTACAATAATATACAGTGAAGGTTTAGGACCACTTAAACTGACTTACGAGCAATTGTCTAGCTAATGCACCCCTTAATTCAACTCTCCGGCAGATAATCGCATGTGTACCGTGTGCTAGTTACTTAACTTTCCTGAGCCACAGGGTTTCCACCTGTGAAGTGGAGATGACCATCTCCTACGGCTGTCCTGAGAATTCCATGAGACAATACATAGCCACCCAGTTCAGTATGCAGTGTTTTCTCTTTCCTCAACTTCTTTAGCTTTACACTCCACCCCCCCCACCCCGTTTCATTTCTTCCTAAATGACAATCCATTTTCATCGTCCTGACCAAATGACATCCCCTCTGGTAAGTCTCCCACTTTTCCCCAGCAAGGAATCATTTCCAGTATTCTGCTCAGACATATGAACTTTTCTCCATGATCAGATTATTATAAATTCCTAAATGTCATTGACCTTAAATGTCACAGTCTCATTCAACTTTGTGTCATCCTGGTGTCCAGAACACTTCAGGCACTCAGGAAGCACTGAACCAAGAGGGGCTTCCTTTACAAGCCAGATAACCCAGAGGAAAACAGCACCACCAGACCTTTCGAATTTGGCCGGAGTTACTTTAGTACTACTTGTGAACTGTTTGCACCCAGAAAGGAGACAGTCATTATACGGTATCCAACACAGGGATTAACCCTAAGACTCCAGATGATAACTTAGTTTTATATCGTCTTTATCACTGTATTTTAGTTTCTTTTTTTAAAAAAATAAATTAAGAGTGTGGGTAATGTTTAATCTGTACCTTTTTGAGTGAGTTGGGGATTTTAAAAGTAATTAAAAAAATAGAAGTAATTAAAAATTTCTAAGAGGGGTGCCTGGGTGGCTTGGTCGGTTGAGCATCCAATCCTTGATTTCGGCTCAGGCCAGGATCTCAGGCTCTTGAGAAGGAGCCCGGAGTCATGGGCTCCGTGCTGGGTGTGGTGCCTGCTTAAGATTCTCTCTCCTCCTCTCACTGTACCCCCTACCCCCATGCTCTCTCTTATAAATAAATTAATCTTTCAAAAACATTACAAGAGAGAACTGTTTATTTATTTATTTTTTTTAAAGATTTTATTTATTTGACAGAGACACAGAGACATCAAGAGAGGGAATACAAGAAGGGGGAGTGGGAGAGGGAGAAGCAGACTTCCTGCTGAGCAGGGAGCCCAATTCCAGGCTTGATCCCAGGAAGCTGGGATCATGACCCGAGTCAAAGTCAGACGCTTAATGACTGAGCCACCCAGGTGCCCCAAAAGAGAGCAATTTAAATGCCAAATTCAAGTCAGAGGAAACACTTGCAAGACAAAGCTACTGTGTGTTTAATATGTACCAAGGGAATACTATATATTTTTTCATTTGAAAAAAAATTTTTTTTTTTTTTTTTAAAGATTTTTTTATTTATTTATTTGTCAGAGAGAGAGAGAGGGAGAGAGCACAGGCAGACAGAATGGCAGGCAGAGGCAGAGGGAGAAGCAGGCTCCCTGACGAGCAAGGAGCCCGATGTGGGACTCGATCCCAGGACGCTGGGATCATGACCTGAGCTGAAGGCAGCTGCTTAACCAACTGAGCCACCCAGGCGTCCCTGAAAAAATTTTAATTTCTGGTTTTAACCTCCTGAAAAACAAGGAGAAATTTACTGAAGAAGTCACTGCACCTATAATACTTGGTAAATAATATCCAGGTTTCTCTCCTAGATCTTGAACCAAATATGTTATAATTTGACTCCCATAGCTGTAATGTAAAACACAAATACCATTAAAAGCAAACAATGAGGGACGCCTGGGTGGCTCAGTTGGTTGGACGACTGCCTTCGGCTCAGGTCATGATCCTGGAGTCCTGGGATCGAGTCCAGCATCGGGCTCCCAGCTCCACGGGGAGTCTGCTTCTCTCTCTGACCTTCTCCTCGCTCATGCTCTCTCTCACTGTCTCTCTCAAATAAGTAAATAAAATCTTAAAAAAAAAAAAAAGCAAACAATGAGGCCATTACCTGTATCTATTTACAGTTAATATCCTTAATAGCACAAACTGAGTAGGAAAATGCTCAGACCCATATTCTCAATACATGAAAAATGGGTTAAACTCATTGGCAACAAAAGATTTGAGGGGAAAAAGTGTTATGCCAAGAAGTAATATAAAAAAATACTAGTCAGTGCTAGAGAGGGTGCTGTATTTAGGCAGATACTCTCACTACCTGTCAGTGAGGATATATGTTGGTATGTTTTGGAGAATCTGATTTGCATGCAAAGCCTTAAAAACAGCCAAATTTAGAAATCAGCCCTAATGAAATAATAAGAAACACATAAAGATGTTCACTGTTTTCTGTTAATAGTGATAAACTGGGAAAAAAATCCCTCTAAATATACATATAATAAAGGGATGACTCTATTAAGGTTTATCTCTACGAAACTATTTAAAAGGCTATTATCCTGAAACCAATGTTACACTCTATGTTCATTAACTAGAATCTAAATAAAAACTTGAAACAAACAAAGGCTATTATTATCTAGTTCTTATTAACATGGGTAAATGCTTATATTATGTTTCACAAGGATGTGATCCTAATCTAGCTTTTCACTGTTTTATTCCTAGGGTATAGAATAAGGACCAGTATATAATTTCTTTTAAGTACAAAGTTGTTTTTTTGTTTCTTTTTTTTTTTAATTAAAACTCTGCTTTTTAGAGCAGTTCTAGGTTCACAGAAAAATTGAGGGGAAGGTATGGAGATTTCACTTTAACCCTCATCCCTACACATGCATAGCCTTTCTCATTATCAACATCCCCCATGACAGTGCTATATGTTACAATGGGTGAACCTACACTGATACATCATAATCACCCAAAGTCCATAGTTTACGTTAGGGTTTCCTCTTGGTGGTGTACAGGATGAGGGCTTGGACAAAAATGTACAAAGACATGCATCCCTTACTATAATATCATACAGTATTTTCACTGCCAAAGAAGAATCTTCTGTGCTTCTCCAATTCACCCTCCTTTCGCCCCAACCCTGGGCAACCACTGATCTTTTTACTGTCTTTATCATTTTGCCTTCTCCAGAATGTCATATGGTTGTAATCACACAGTATGTAGCCTTTTCAGAGTGGTTTCCTTCACTTAGTGATATGCCGTTAAGGTTCCTCCATGTTTTTTGGATTCATAGCTCATTTCTTTTTAGCATTGAATAATATTCTATTGCCTGGATGTCCCAACTTACTTGTTTATTTCCTAACCGAAGGGTGTTTTGGTTGCACTCAAGTTTTGGCAATTATGAGTCAAGTTGCGATAAACATCTATGGGCAGGTTTTTGCGTGGACATATTTTCAACTCCTTTGGATAAACACCAGGGAGGGTGACTGCTGGAAGGTTTGGTAAGAGCATGTTTAGTTTTTATAAGAAACTGCCAAATTAAGTCTCCCAAAGTGGGTGAAGCAGGGACGCCTGGGTGGCTCAGTTGGTTGAGCGGCTGCCTCCGGCTCGGGTCATGATCCCGGCGTCCTGGGATTGAGTCCCGTATCGGGCTTCGTGCTCGGCAGGGAGCCTGCTTCTCCCTCTGCCTCTGCCTGCCTCTCGGCCTACTTGTGATTTCTCTCTCTCTGACAAATAAATAAAATCTTAAAAAAAAGTGGGTGAAGCATTTTGCATTCCCACTACCAACGAGTAAGAGTTCCTGTTTCTTCACATCCTATGCATTTGGTGTTGTCAATGCTGTGGCTTTGACCTTCTAATAGTGTGCAGTGCACAGATTTTTTTTTCTTTTAAAAATGGCTCTTTTAAACCTATAATTTTTTTTATTTATTTAAATACAATTAATTAACATATGCACATACATTTTTAATAAATATTTGGTAGGGGCACCCAGGTGGCTCAATCTTGTAAGAGGCTGCCTTCTGCTGGGGTCATGCTCTTGGGGTCCTAGGATCAAGCCCCCAGTAGGGCTCTCTGCTCAGTGGGGAGTCTGCTTCTCTCTCGCCCTCTGTTTGTCCCCACTGTGCTCTCTCTCTCTCTCTCTCATAAATAAAATCTCTTAAAAAACAGCAAAAAATATTTGGTAAATAAGCGAAAACTAATGTTCAGTGAAAAATATAAAATTATATAAAATGGAGTATCTGTAAAAAAACAGTGTAGAAACAGAACTGTAATGACACACAACTAAGTGGGAAAAGAGGTCATGGGTATTTGTTAAAAATAACTTTATTGAGGTTTAATTTTACATACCCACTGTCTATGTACAGTTCAATGACATTTATACAGTTGGGCAAATATCATCAGTATCATGGTCAGTTTTTGTTTTCTCAGTCCATCTTTTCTGTATGATAAAGCAGGACTTACTCTTGGAGACGCCTCATCCCTCGAAGTTGGTGGAAATGAACTCTAAAATTACTATAAAATTATTTTCTAGTCTAATGATTTGAATCTCTCCCTTCAATCTGACATATGCAACGCTCTAGCACAAAGTGGATTTTAAAAGCCGCAGGAAGGTCCTGTGCTACCTTTCGGAGTAAAATGGCAAGGGTGGAGCAGGCACGCTACAGCCTAGATTGTTGGGTGTCCCACAGAAGATCATTATTCTTGGTCCTTTAGCATATAAAGAGGTTCCACAGAATAACGAGTAGAGAGTCGCAGTTCCCAGCGGAAACATAGGTATTAGATGCAAGAGATGTGAGCAGTTGTCTTGTGCTCCTCAATCCTGCTGGCAGGTAAGTACCTCAACTGGTGACGTCCCCCAACCCACCTGGGACGTTGGCCGCTGCAGTCCACAGGCTGGGGCCACCCTCCTCCGTGAAGTGCCCAGAGAAGGGACCTTCGTTGTCCTCACTTAGCTCCCTCAACTTAACTTCCCTTCGGGGAGAAGCCCACTGAGATAGGTTGGCACCTGAATACGCATCATAGCCCCCGCTCCCAGCGACCCGCCTACAGCCTCCTACCTGCAGAGAAGCAGAGCAAAGACAGCCGGTGCCTCAGGCGGGCCAAGCCTAGCAAAGTGGGAGCAAAGAACATGGCTTCATCGTCGGGGTGCGCGATCACCAGGAGGGTCTTGCTTCCATCTCCCGGGACGCCAGCCGGTTCCTGACTTTTCACTCTTTCCCAGGAATCCCAAACCCAGAGGAAGCCCCACGCTACGACCGCAGCGGCCAAACACAGAAAACCCACGGCTTCCATCCTCTCTGGGCGGCACTGCGCCTGCGCGGGAGGAAGGCTGCCGCACACCCAGCCTCCGGCGGGAAAACTGCACCCGCGGAAATTGCGTTCCGAGTTTAACTCTGGCCGGCTAGCGGCTTTCAACGTTGGGCTCCTGTTGTGGCTTTTGCAAGGACACCTCCAAACCGTTCTTTCTCTAGTTCTCTCCACTTTATGGAGCATCTACGACGTTTTTGCCTTCTGGGTTTCGGAGATGAGCCCCTTGCCGTCCAGCTTTCAGCCCCTGTCCTTACAGTGCCCTGGGTTTAAAAAGAATTGTTTGAAAACACCCGCCCTCCCTCTCTTGAATTCCCTCCTCTCTTCAATTCACACTTTTGTGACTCATTTATTAAAACCCTAGACTTCCCCCTAATTATTTGGTCGGCCCCTTCTCCGAATGAACCGACTTAGTTTTTCCTTCTTCATTTTGGCATGGGGAGCGGTGGCTCCTCGGAGGGAAACGCACGCGGTGATGAGGAACCGTCCAGTGGTTTCCCTAGAAGAGTAAGACCGAGAGAGCGCACTTCGCGGTCGCCGAGAGCCACGGGCTCCTCCGACGGGTGACTTTAGATTAAGGAACGACATCACGGACAAATCAGCATCGCCTGACGTGCTGTGAAGTCCCGCTGCGAATTACAGCCGCAGACCCTTGGGTAGGTCGCCGTGCACCCGCAGCCCGGGTCGAGGAGGCGGCAGCCGCCGCGCCGCGGAGGGCTCGCAGGGCCCGAGGCATGGCCTCGGATCCTTTCTTTTCCCACGGCCCGGGGAAGGCCCCGAGCGCGCGGCAGCCGGCCGGCTCGCGGCGAGCGTCCCGGCCCGAGGGCGCGATGGCAGCGCGCTGGGTCCGGCCAGGCACGGCGCGGCCCTGGCCCCGTGTTCGCTCGAGGGGATCGCCGCCCCTAGGCCGAGGGCAGAGCCGAGGGGACCAGGAAGCTCGGCCGAGGTAGGAGCCGCGCTCGGCCAGCGGAGGGAGTCGGTCTCCCAGCCCTCCGGAAGGAGGAGGAGCCCGCGCCGGAGCCGCCTCAGCTGCGGCCGCCGGAGCCAGGGGGGAGGGAGAGGGGTTGAGTCAAGATGGCGGCCAAGGTGGCGAAGCAGCAGCGGCGGCGGCGGCGGCGGCTGCTGGAGTGAGCTCCCAGCTCGCCGCGCCGAGCGAGGTCCCGGGGTAGGGACGCGCGCCGGGGCCGCGTCCTGCTCCTCAGGCCCGGGGGCGCTCCGGCTACCACGCTCCGCCAGCTCCTGGTGAGTAGGCCCCGGCGCCCGCAGCCCCGGCCTCCGGGCCCCCAGCTCGCTCCGGGGCTTCCGAGGGCTCCTAGGGCGCCGGCCGCGGGAGCGGCTTCTCGGTCCAGCGAGGGGCGTCGCGGGCCCGGTAGGTCGGGTCTCGCCGCGGACGCCCGGGCTCTTCCCCTCGGCTGCCCGGGGCGAGTCGGGCGCGGCGGGGAGCTGGGGCTGGGCGAGTCGAAGAGGCTTATGGAGTTTGGAGGAAGAATGGGCTGCGGCCGGCCGGGTGTCCTGTGGGGAGGGGGCGTGCGGAGTCCTGCGGGCCGGGCCGAGGGAGCCGGGGAGGGCCGGGGGAGCCCAGGTGGGGCCGGCACAGGTGGCGGGCCTGGGCTCACTCGGAGGCGGAGTTGGTGGCCGTCTCGGGAGTGTGGAAGGGCTTCGGGAGGGTGACAGCGATGGGCAAGTGCGTGGAGAGCAAAGTAGTTCACCTTCTAAGCAAACCCCTTCTGGGTGTAATGGCGAAGGGTGGGTAGTGGTGGAGATGGCAAAGATCGGAACCCTCTGCCTTCTGCCTTTTATTATTGGTGTTTTACTGGGTGAATTCTCATTTATAGAGGAAGAGGGATTTGAGAAACTGTAATTGAGAAACCGGTCTTCTGGGAGAGCAGACTGAATTCTTCGATTGGACTGGATTAGGTGTAGTCGTTATTAGAGGTGGACGTGCGAATAAGTGATGTTTGTGAAAAGTGTTTGCTCGGGAAGTGTCAGTTTTCTTTTACTGATGTTGCATGCTATGGCGCCACTTCAGTAGAGTTAACCTTGGAGAGCAGTGGTATAGGTAGTTCTAATCTTTGGGATTAGTGTACTCACCTGTATCAGATTTGCTTCCCTGGTCATGCCCTAATTAACATTGAAATTTGCGTTCCTTGTGTGCATTTTGGTGAGGCAGTGAAGAGAGGCGGAACCCTGAGCCAAGAGCAACAGGCCCGGGATTTAAAAATGACTACAAACACTCATTCTCTTTCGTTCAGCATGTCTTGATCCATAGCTCCTGCCAGTAGATCCCATGGGATTGTCCTTTTCCATAACTGAAGGTCCTTTGGCATTATTTAATTTTTAATAGTTTAAAAAAAAGTCTTTTTTTTTTTTAAGATTTTATTTATCTGACAGAGAGAGATCACAAGCAGGCAGAGAGGCAGACAGAGAGAGAGGAGGAAGCAGGCTCCCTGCTGAGCAGAGAGCCCGATGCGGTGCTCGATTCCAGGATCCTGAGATCATGACCTGAGCCGAAGGCAGCGGCCCAACCCACTGAGCCACCCAGGCTCCCCTAAAAAAAAAGTCTTAACATACCCTTTCATAAAGACGCTTATTGGGTGAACCAAGTGGCCTGGGCTCAGGAGCAGATAGAACAATTTTATTGTCTTATTTAGAAATGGGTGAAAATTACCGAAGAAATAAACACAAGTTGTTGGAGGAAGAAACAGTGTTTGTATTCGCTTATTCTGTTAGATCCGGTGGAAGCTTATTTATTTATTTTAACATTTATAGTACACAGTGGCCCTGCCTTGCTTTAAGCACACCTGTCAGTGGAAATCAAGTTTAACACCCGTATATATAAATAATATACACATGCTTACATACATACATAAGGATGGGATTACTTGCAATACCAAAATACTCTTTCCTTTTGCAAAAGCCTTGCCATGTTGAACTACTCCCCCAGTGAAAATACAATACAAAGAGTCCTGATTCTTCCTTTTACTATTTGACATTTTGGAACATGATCAACCTTTCTTTGCTTCCATTTCTTGGTCTATGATAGTAGGAAAGCATCCACTCTCCTAGGGCTGGCTGCTATGATCTTAAGAGAGTTAATAGTTATGAAATTGCTTTAAACAGAAAGGGTTATGTTTCTGTGAGGTAGTAACAACTTCCTTTGCACTCCTCTGAAATGCTTATCTGCACATCTCCCATGGCGTTCACCCTTTCTACCTTGTATTTAGGTATTTCCGAACTAGTTTTATCTCCTCTTGAGATCAGAATAGGCCCTTCTCTGATTTTATCTTTGTTTGAGGCACTATGTAGGATTTTATTTTCTTTGTAGGATATTGGCACTGCAAATGTTTGTTGAATGAATAAACAAACATTGTATTCTAATTAGAAAAATGTGTTCACATTACACCTTAACCTAAATAGGTCTGTTACCCACTATGAAATATCTGTATAGCTGTGATTCCCTCCATGGCCTCTTAGGAAGATCTGTTTTATTTTATTTTTTTATTTTTTAAAGATTTTATTTATTTATTTGACAGAGATCACAAGTAGGCAGAGAGGCAGGCAGAGAGAGGAGGAAGTAGGCTCCCCGCTGAGCAGAGAGCCTGATTCTCGGGGCTTGATCCCAGGACCCTGGGATCATGACCTGAGCCAAAGGCAGAGGCTTTAACCCACTGAGTCACCCAGGCTCCCCGTGGAAGATCTATTTTAAACTGAATTTCTTGTTGGATTTAATCAGACAATAAAACTTAAGTATTCCGTGTGTTCACATAATTTTTTTTTTTAAGAAATTGCTTGAAAATAACTTATGTTTCTTTGAATTTAACTGAGTAAAAGTTGGTTCCAAAGCTAGGTAAATGTAGTCAAGTTTTTGTAAGCTTTTTTTTTTTTTTTTTAAATTTGGGAAGTGGAGAGATTTTCTTGCCATTACTGCAGTAGGAAGCAAAGGCTTTTGAATAGGGCAGGCATTGATGTAGGTAAATTTCAGGCTATTTGTTACTCAGGTTTTGTTTTTATTTTTTTGAGTGTGTTTTGTTACTCAGTTTTAATTGTATTTCCTGATGTCTTAATTGCAAGTTTAAATTCTTACTGATGCCTGGGAACTGTGGAAGTCTGGCGTATTTAGTTACTTCTGTTTCTTCTCTTCAGATGTTGCATTTTACTAGAATACCTTCCAAAGAAGTAGTAAAGCTTGACCAGATTTATTTTCTATGGACGCATTTGTGGATTAGAGATTCTTATGTAGCTCATTCACTTGTTCAACTGGTGTGACGTGCCTTTTATGTTCAGGGTACATTACTAAATGCTGTAAAGGTATAAAGTTGAGCAGATCAGTTATGCACAAATAAGTTAGTTAGGATTGCCTGTTATTTTGCCTTTTTCAGGTTTGAGGATGCAAGAAGTACATTTAGATTGATGGTTAAGAAAACATTTTTTTTTTTTCTCCTGTCGGGACTTAGGAGTATTGAAAAGCCATGAAAAGCTTTTGTCATGTAGCAATAAGTGTATGTAGGGCATCTGTTTTTTATTTGGTATTCTTGTGATGGTGGTTTCCCTTGAACATTTTTACTGCTCTTCTACCATTTTTTCTACCCTAGAAGCTTGTGTGGTCAAAATATTAGTTGGATAGTCTTCAGATCCAAAATACTTCTTTTTTTCTGTTTTCGTTCGTTTGTTCTCTTTGCATTTGAGAGTGAGACCATACAAAGCCATGTTAATGTTCTTGTGGAGTTCTTCAGTTGGACTCCTCACTGTGTGTGCTGTTCCTTTTACTTAAAAGTGATTGCAGACCCCCCCCAACCCACAAGACCCCACCCCCCAAACCCCACCTACGTTGGTTAAAATTAAATGCTAATAATTTACAGAAATTGTAGGATTTAGATGACAATAATACCTAGTAAGACTAGAAAATGATAGACTAGATAATCTAGTCTTATTTTACTTGTGGATAAACTGAAGATCACGGAAGTGAGGTGATTTGCCTAAATTGTTG